GGAGCGGGGCGGGGTGGGGTGGGGTGGGGAAAGAGGAAACAGTAGACACTCCCTACCTCTCCGCGTTTGGAAGTCTGGGAAAAGCAACCGTGTCCGCTCCCTACGGAGATACAAGGACGACCCTTGTGTCCTGCTTCTGAGAGGTCACACCCCCTACACACAAATGGGCAGCATTTGATCCCAGGCAGGCAGGAAAGGGTTTGGCCAGGCAGCCCCTCAAGAGAGATGACGGTAGAGACGCGTTATGTACCACCAGAGACTTTTAACCAAAACAAAAGTGCACTATTCCCTTGGAGCCTGCCACCAGGTGCTTATCATCCTCCAGCCAGTGTAAGTTTTAATACTGTCCAGGGCTGCTCGGGAGTGTTCTGCAGCCTACAGACACTGCTCTTGAGTTTCTAGGAGTCGCCACACCCATACATCTTAAGAGGATGTCAGAGGGGCATTCCCTCCTGGTGTTTCCCCAGCTCAGCAGACCGGCAGGCCAGCTCTCAGGCTTGGCTTGCCCAGCTCATCTGCTCCAGCATCACAAAACAGTCTTGACTGCTGGCCCCACCCAACCCCGCCCTGTCCTTTGGGGAGTTTTCATTGCCCTACCCTAGCCGGCTGTCTCCCCTGCCTGTCTGTTGTTTAGTCCCCAACTGTCTGCCTAGATGAGGTGAAAGTTTAGGGTTAGGAGGAACACAAAGTGCCGTAGCAAGTCTGCGTCCCCCATCTGCCCCCATGGCATCTGGAAGGGGCTGAAGGGAGGTGCCCATGACCACCCTGTGTCTACTCAGTCTGTTGCCTGCTGGTCTGCAATCTGTCTAACTTGTCTCCTGCCTGCTACTCTGTTCTATCCAGAGCTCCCTGCCCGGGCTAGACAGAGCCGGTTGACTAATACCTCATGAAACAGAACAATCTCATTCTGGAAGGACTTGGTTCTAGGGTTGCGAACCGCTTGTGCACCAACTGTAGATGCTAAGCTCTTCTGTTCACATTGGGCAGATGAGAGTGCCAGGGCAGTGACTTACCCAAGACTGCAAGCTGAGATAGTACTGTATCCCCTTCGCTCCTCCCGTTTTCTTCCTGCCCTCTTCTATCTCTCTTACCATTTGGGGGTAAGTTAATTATTGTTACCTGTCCTACCCTTGGGTCCCATAGGGACAAAGCCCCATCCTGTTACAGTCTCCGTGTAAAGTATTTTACAGTCTGTAGGGCCTCCCCTAGGCCCATGATGTAGCCTGAGAAGGAAGCGTTATCCCCATTTTACCTACTGATGACAAGAAATCTGCTCCATGAAAGGTTAAGTGACATATCCAGGGTCAAGTGACAGGACATTATCAAGTGAGGTACCCAACTGGGTTTGGCTATTGGGTGGGAGTAGAAGAAGGGTGAGATGAAACTCCTCAAAATCTTTTATGGCAGGCTGTGATCTCAGGGGACCGCTGGGATTATTATGATGTTGCCACTTCTCTCTCTTGAGACCAGTGATTTATGAACTTGACATTTGGAACCTGATACTGGCTTTGAAAAGTAGGGGCCACCTTTGTGTGCAGAAGATAGATCCTAAAGGGATGGGTGGCAGGAATCCAAAGAGAAGCCAGTCTTAGCTGCAGTGGGACAGTGCAGGAAAGGACCGGAAGAGGGGGGCCTTGCCTTTCTCCTAGGCCTGAGCATGTCCCCTGTGGGTTGCTCCATGACAGCTGAGCCTTCCCAGCCTGCCCTCCTGATGCTGGGTGTCTCATACCCACAACCACGCCAGCAAGCAGTCTGTTTTTCCAATATCTTCAGAGCCAAACCTCCCCAGCCTATTTCGGTGGTTCCTGAATTTTCCTCAGACCTCATGTCTATCCCTTCACTCCCTCCAAAAAGAAGAAAGAAGAGAAATAATAAAAGAGGGGGAGGAAAACATCTTTCTCATGTCTAAATGACAGGAGATGGGGGTATTTCAAGCTGTGATGTGGTGACCAGCCTTGGGCCAGACCAGGAATGTAATGTGCTTTTTCCCATTAATTTTTTGTTTGGGGTCTTGCTATGCAACCAGACTGGCCTTGATCCTCTTGGCCGGGGCGGTTCTTTCCATCCTACCCATCCTCCCAGACCCTGAGCCTGTTTAGTGAGGACCTCCCATCCTCCCTGGCCTAGGCTAGGAAGGGACAGATGGGCTCTACTGAGTCAGACCCTGCTTCTGTTCCCTGTGCCCCCCTAGACACTACCTGTCCCTTCCCCATCCTAAAGGATGGAAACAGCAGAGGGCCTGCTCTCTTCCTCCAGAGATAACCTTACCATCTTGGAAGCTGCTTAGAAACATAGGCAGAGCCTGGCTGAGTGTGCCCCCCCCCTTTACTTTGAAGCCACAGGCAGCTCACTCTTCTGGTCCACACTAGTTCCCTCATCACAAATCCATGAGTTGATGATCTCTAAGGGTCCACTCAAGTTCAGCCTGTAGAACAACCCCCTGCCACTGCAAATACAATCCTCCTACCTCACCCCTGCGGCCGGCCGCAGACATCATCCACCGCCCAGGCCTCACCTCTGGCTGGGCTGCAGGAAATGGATACTGAGGTCTGTTCCCTTGACTTTACCAAACCTGTTTCTTGGATCTTTCCTGTTCCTTTCATCCTCCCACACTCTAGGGAGTTGTCTCCTTATCGCCAGGTTCTGTTGAGTGTCAGTTGCCTTGGCTTTTCAAGGTCATTGATAATAATCGTCGTAGCGTGGCCCTGGATTCAGCATCCCTGTCCTGAGTGATGCTGTGTCCGTCCGAGGCCTGGTGGTAGATTCAGCTTCCCCCTGCAGCTTCTATAGTAGAGCCTTGGTTAAGTGTGAATGTTTAAACCACAGATTAGCCCACACTCCCACGTGGGGCGTCCGTCCGTCCATCTCTTTCACGTCCCCCTGCCATCCCAGCCAGCCTCATTCTCCCAGGCAAAACAGTGACTCCATTTTGTGTTGCCACATATCTGACTCAAGGAGGGAGGGACACCCACTCCTAAAAATAAAGGTACAGGCCCTCTCGGGGGTTCTAAGGCATCTGGGTTTGAGTCTGGGCAGGCAATGGAGGGGGATAGGTGGCTGTGATGACAGCCCCTCCCCACCCGGCCTGCTGCTTCCCACAAGTTGTTTGACTTGGATGTTGGGCTGAACTGTTGCATAAAATGGCTTCCCACAGAGCGCCTGGGCTGGAGTGACACTGCCCTGCTTGTACTGGAGCTGGCAGGTTGGGGAGAGGGTGAGCTGAGGCCAAGTGTCTGCCCAGCGATGGAAAATAGGACCTGGCCCCTGCCTGGCTCTCGGGTTCCTCCCCCATCCCAGCCATAGTAACCGACAACCAAGATCAGGAATCCGGACCTCTGGGTGGTAGTGAGAATTGGATTCATGTGCACACACTCACACTCCCTCACACACACCCACACTTCTCTCTCACAGACTCTGCCCCTGTTTTCAAAGTGCCGGTGGCAACATTCCAGAGCTTGCTATGGATCCAGAGAAGCCGCACTGCTGGCTGCCAGTTACTGGTTGCTTCCCAAATTTGGACAGGCTTTGATAGGAGTGGATCTGGGGTGGCTGGTCAGTGCTTACTCCCCTAAACGAGCCTTTCCTGGCTTCTGCATTCACAAATTGCCATTCTCAGTTCTCCCTTCGGGAAGTGTGTTGGACATGAACCTTTAATCTTACACATAGGTCTGTGTGTCCTGGGGTGGCTCTGTCTGGTTTTTGGCTCAATTCATTTTTTATAAGGAGATGTAGCCTGAGATTGGTCACCACACCTAAAATACCTTGGGACCTAAAAATACCTTGGATTTACAAACAAACAAAAAACCCAATTTTTCTTTGGTAACACACAGAGGTAGATAGATGACTTTTGCCTGGGTATTTCTGGCTTGGGGGGCCGGGGCAAGGGGGCTCAGATCTCAGGGCTCTGGTGGCTTCTGCATTACTGTTGCTGTCTTAGGTGTTGTGGATAAATCCATGTGGCATTGAGAAAAGAAGTGGCATTGTGACTTCTGAGTTCCTCCCTGTCCGGGTTGGGCCAGAGGGACTTTACTAGGCTCTGTCATACATGG